TTTTGCCATGGGACTGGGACCAGACCTTCCATTTTGGATTGCTGCTGTAAGTGGATGTGGGGCTGCTAGGTTTGGTTTCATCTGAAGCAGGAGAGCAACCAATTGCACTGAAATCCTAAGGACACTTATTGGGGAATACTGAACACAGTGGAATGCTACTTCCACATAATTATTCATAGGTTTTAGCTGTCAAGTTACTAATCTGACTCGATATTCCTTTAGGAAAAGCTTACCAAGCCCCCAATGGTCTTCTACCATGACTTACAGACATGCACTTCAGCCTTTCAGGGAAGGGAGGGTTGTTGTTGTTGTTGTTTAAAAAAATGCTCTCAACTATGGATTGAAATCTAGGGCCACTGGGATACTATAACCCCTGCCTCCTTGGAAGAACATATTATTATTAAGTATTATAATGCAGGGTGTTGTTTAAGATTGGCCCAAGACCTGAAGATGTTGAGAACTTCATAGGGTGGTGTGTCCATTTGCACACATGCAAATGGAGTATCTTCAATAAATCTCCAAACATCATCCTCATTCCCACAGTTTGTAGGTAAAGAACATCTACCATGGTGCACATGCAAATGTAAGTGCACAAATCATTAAAAAATGTGGATTCCCTGACCATGCTTGCTACCTAGGCCTCATGCAACTTAAAAATGTATCATCATTTTCCTGCAGTCAACAAGTTCCTGGCATTTACTTTAACACATTTTTACATAAGCACACCTATATAATGAGGCTGTCACATGATTAAACAGTTGTTCAGAAAAAGTATGATTGTTTTATCCAGTTTTTACGTGACGCACACATGTCACAGCAGGCATCACCTTAGAAGAAGCATTATCTGCTTGTGTGAGAGAATCCTCCTTGCTGCTAGTAGATTTTGGAAATGCTTGTTTCTTTAAAAGCACCACAACCAACCTGCTCCCCAGTGACTTGCAGGCATCTCACACTCTCACAATCCAGTTAAATTAAGCCACTGTGAAGCCACAGCTCAGCAACAGAGCATCTGCCTTGAAAGCAGAAGGTCCTGGGTTCAATCCCAGGCATCTCAGGGTAGGGCTGGGAGAGACTCGTGCCTGAAATCCTGGAGAGCTGCTGTCAGTCAGTGAATATTGTCCGAGAATACTGAGCTAGATGGACCAATGGTCGACCCACTGATTTTACTGAGAGGAAAGTATGAGCTACAATTGTCCTCAAAATAAGCCACACTGAACTCAGTGGAGCTTCCTTCTGAGTTGATATGCACAACATTGTGTTGTAGAGCCACATTCATACACACACTTCCCTGGGAGTAAGTTCACTAAAAATGGTGAGAATTACTTATCAGTAAACAACATATTCATTCCTTAGAAAGACTTGTGTCCTGCCTTTCTGGTCCAAACTTTGAACTGCTAGAAATGGCTAACAAAATATATTTTAAAATGCAACTCTAAAATATAAAAGCTGTGTACAATTAGGCTGCAAATATTTTCCACACTAATTAAGTAGACTCTGAAGCACTTAACTCTGATTGTGGTGTACCTGTAATTATTTGTGTATATTGTAACAAGTACAGCCTGCAACAAAAAGGTGTAACAACAGTGGTGTTTTCCAGTTCCTTGTTTGAGTCAGACATCCCCTATAAATAATAAATAATAATAATAATAATAATAATAATAATAATAATATTTTATTTATACCCCACCCATCTGGCTGAGTTTCCCCAGCCACTCTGGGCGGCTTCCAATCAAGTGTTAAAAACAATACAGAATTAAATATTAAAAATAAAAAAATATATTTAAAAAACTGTTCTCAGTTCCATTCTTCTCCTCGCCTAATTTTCTATTTCCCCCTTCAACTGTCAATCAACATTCCACACCCATTGCGTATGCTCAGTCCTCACTGGCCTGTTTTGGGAATTCATCCCCTATTCCTCAGTATTTCCCCCATTATTATCAGTAGTAGTAGTAGTAGTAGTATTTCTGCAAATCTTGGCCTTTCACCCAAGCCTGCCAATAACGGCATCGCATGTGTGTTTGGCCAAATAAGGACTCACAGCCTGAATGCAAAAAAGATAGGGAATTACTCTAATACATATTCTAATGTATAATACAGGCCAACACACACAAGTATACAAGCACTCGGCTCAGCACCTGAGATCCTCCTGCCAGCTGAGTTTCCATGGGTGGGTGCAAGGAACAAGGCCTTTATGGCACTGACGCTCTGGATGGTTCTCACTAGAGCAACTCGCATGTCTCTACCACATGGACAGCTGATATAATACTGATACACACATACACACACACACACACACACACACACTATGCAAAGCCTACGCATGGCTAGCCTTGGGAGAATTTGAAAGACTGCTGCTCAATCCTACACACCAAGCAGTATGTCCTACTGAACTCAAGGAGATTTACATCTGAGTACACACGTATAATGTATAAAAATAAGAAATTATCCAAGCAGTGAATAGAAAGCATATTATGAAGCATAATAAGAACAATTACAAAACATTTTAAGCAATCCTTTATTATACTCCAGCCTGCATTTGGGTGCTTTTAACTGAAGTTTTATCTGCTGAGGCTATCTTATTTTAATAATTTGTGAACTGAACATTGCTCATTGTTTACATGGTTCGATTATATGCTGTGTTTTAAGTGTGCTGTAATTCACCTTGCAAGTGGCTTTCAACCCTGAAAACGGGCTAGAAATCCATTAATTAATTAGAATCTTTTTTTCCCCTTTAACAAACTAGCACCACCCCCGTACATGGTACTAAATCACCTACACGCACATTGTATTTCATACACAGGGTGACTGACATCAATCATCATGCAAGTCAAGAGCATTGGGCATCAGTTCTGGGAGGGTGTGGAGGGGAAGAGGGAAGGGGCAAGCTGGTGGGCAGTAATTAATAATGCAGTAATTATGATTAACAGCAAGAGAAACTAAGGATTAATGTCATAGGCAGCGGTTTGATTCGATTCCTGTTAATAACCACAGCAGGCCAGAGCTCTGTTGGCTCCTAAGGGGAAACCCTCCCGCAGCCACAGCTGCCCAGGCTTCCGCTTCGCAGGGAGGCAGGCGCAGGAGACGGGATGCTGCGGCTTCCTGCAAGGCGTCGAGGGGCCAAGCGCCGCCCTGGAGGCCCCCAGCCCCAGGCAGAGGCTGCCCCTGCGGGGAGACAGGCGCCACGAACAGATCGGAGGTGCGAGGGTTGGAGCCGGGTTCAAATCCCGCCCGCTGACCTACCTCGCGGGGCTGTTCTGAGAGACACGCCCGCCCGCCTTCAGAAGAGGAAGAGCGGTGTACACGTGTCAACGTCACGCAAGCCTGGCGCCGTCACGTGTGAACGGCCGCCCCGCTCCTCTCCACGCGCTCGCCCAGCCGCCCCGTCCCAGGCGGCCCGTCAGCCGGCCAGGCCCGACGGAGGCGGCCGGGGAGGGAGCCGGTGGGGGGTCCTCCAGGGAGGGGGCGTGGTCTGGCGGAATGGGCGGGGCACTCACCTGCCTTGGCTCGCTCGCGCTCTGCCCCTCCCCCAACTGGTCCGGCTGAGGTGAAGGAGGCGCCGCCGCCGCCGCCGCCGGAGCCTGGAATCGCGAGCTGGTGCGCCTGCGCGCACAAACCGCCGCCGCTAATACGTCACAGCGTCACCAGCCGGGGAGACTCGCCGGCGCCGGTCGCTCCGCCCACCAGGGGCGCTCTCGAGCTCCGCCTTTTCGCGAGGCAGCCAATCGGCGGCAGCTTTTCCAGAAGTGCCGCGAGCGTCCAATGAGAACGGCGCTAGGGTTAAGGGAGAACTGACGGAGAAGGGGCGTCCTATTGTGCGCGCCCAGCGCGTCGAATAGTGTTCCTAAGACGGAGGACACGTCGTTCTCCCGCCGTGACGCAAAAAGGTGGGCGGGGCGGAGAGACGCAGCGCGAGGTTTGCGCAGGCGTGGCAGCACGCGCCTTCTCAGGCCCGGCTGTGGTTGGAGCGCGACTCCGCTCGGCCCTTGGGGGGGGTCAGGGATGGGGGGAGTTGTAGAGGCGGAGGGGACCCTGAGGGTCATCTAGTCCAACCCCCTCGCGACCCCGAGAGTCTCCTGCTCTCTACCTGCTCGCTAAGCTGGGAAGCCAAGTTTGAGAAACATTGGACGTGCTTGCCCATTAAGGAGGACACTGCACTCTTAACGTGCTCAGAGGTGCTGTTGCTCCTTCCCGTAGGGAGCCTCGAAATTAACGCCGAAGCCTTCCAAGTCAAGTGACATCACTGCCTCTGGCAAAAGCTGCATGACATCCCAGAGTCCTTGGGATACTTTCCTCCCAGAACTTGCAACAACTCTGACCATGGGTGATACTGCCTGTGGCTGAGGGGAGCTGGAGTCCAAAATTGGAGAGGACATAGTTTCTCTACCCCTGAGTTAAAGGGATACTACATATCAAGGAAACCAAAATGCTTGTTTACAAAGCTATTGTACTACCAACATTACTGTCTGCTTGTGAAACATGGACCACTGATAAACGCCATCTCCAGCTCCTCAAAAGATTCCATCAACTGGGTCTCTGAAAATTTGATACATCACTTGGGAAGACAAGCGAACTAATGCCAGTGTACTGGAAGAAGCAAAGATCACCAGTGTTGAAGCAATGATTCTTCAACATCAACTTCGTTGGACTGGTCATGTTGTGCGGATGCCTGACGATCGTCTTCCAAAGCAACTACTCTATTCCCAGTTTAAAAATGGAAAGTGTAATGCTGGTGGTCAACAAAATATGTTTAAAGACTGTCTCAAGGCAAATCTAAAAAAATGTAGTATCAACACTGACAACTGGGAAACACTGGCCTGCGAGTGCTCCATTTGGAGAACAGGCTTTACCAAAGGTGTCATTGGCACTCAAACTCAGGACGCAAGGGAGAAACATGCTAAGAGGAAGGCACGCTTAACAAATCCACACCGTGATCAATTCCCACCTGGAAACCAATGTCCCCACTGTGGAAGGACGTGTGGATCCAGAATTGGCCTCCACAGTCACTTACGGGCTCATTGTTAAAACCGTGTTTATGGAAGACAATCTTACTCGGCTACGAGTGATCGCCAAAGAAGAAGAAGAAGGAAGACATATCAAGGACAATCTGGGGTGAGGATGAGAGCACTATTAAAGGATTAGAAATGGTGCAAAACCAATTTCTCAAGAGACTGTTTTCCGCACCCAAGGGAACAGCATCCGAACTCTTACACATGGAATGTGGATGGTCAACATTAACTGCAAGAGCTATTTGCACCTGGTTTAATTAGCTGAAAATACTTGTTATGCGGAATTGGTGAACAGCCGGTAGTGGAAATCTAACACACAATATTATTTGAACTCTTTATTATTTCCCTAAGATAGAGGAGATTATATCTACAGACAAATGTCATCTAAGGGATTGGTGCCACTGGACAGAATCACTACATGATCTGCAAGCGATTAAATTCTCTAAATGCTCTCCTTGGTTCCCTCTTCTAAAAACAGTCCATTTTAGAGCCAGTTACCTGTCAAATCTCTGGCCAGCCTCACTTAGATTTGCTTTTGCTTAGCTGCATTTTCAAGTTATGCCCTCCACTGTCCTGGACAGATAATATAACAGGGTACCGTACGAAGATAAGACTCTGAATATGTGGGCATCTGCAGGTGGAAGACATCTTGCACTATTTACTATATTACTATTTACTATACCTTGGACCCAGGAGGCAATTTCTCACCTTACAGGAAATTTGTCTCCCCCCAACAGAGAAGGTCCTATTGCTTCTTGGTGATGCAAATGCTTCTGTGACTCAACAAGTCACCCTTTTTGCTTTGGAGGCCAGAAAAGATCAGAAAGAAGACCCTGGACAATATAGCACTGAACTGTAAGGGAGACACAGAGATCTAAAGAGAGACCATTATTTGTGGCACGACACCCCTTTTGCTTGTATTTATTTTTTAATCAGATTTGCCATGGCCAATGGCTAGTACAACAACATTTGGACAGGACATACCGAGGACAAAAATGCCTATTGTTTCCCATCCTTGGATGATGTGGCATGTCAGGTGAGGTAGGAAAAGGCCCGCCCATTGGTCTCTCTAGCAACCTCTTAGGGCATGCAAATAGCAACCCAGGCCAGTACCATAAGCAAGGGACTGGTTTGACTGGTTTAGCAGGTTTCCTCTCATGAAATCTAACCCCACATACACAGGATCTCAGGTTTGGAAGGGACCCACAGGTGCAATCCAGACTGACACCCACAAACCTGTAACAATATGCTACTCTGATTAGCAAAACAAGTTGCTGTTGTTTTATTCCAAAAAACTGAAACATTTTCAACACACAAAAATAAACCTTTATTAATCACAGTTGTATGTATGTGTCTTTCCTTGAGCCAAGCTGATCAGAATATTTCTGGTATAGAATTTTTGCCTTCTTTTCAGGGCATTAGAGTGGAAGAGGATGGGCAGATCTGAGCTACGGCAAACATCCCCCATGCAGGTCCCACTGAAATGAGTGGCAGCTGTGCAAGAGCATGGTCAAGCTTTGACCCAGATCCTGTTCATTTCCATAAGGCTTGCCCTGGGTTGTGATCCACTTGAATTACTTGGAGGTGTCTGGATTTTCCAGCACCAATATTTGTCTCTGCTCTGGGTGCAAGCAAACCTCGGAGGATCAGGCTGTGACATTTGTGCAGCCTGATCCGATGTATGTTTCGTTGCAAGTCACGCTGAAGTTAACAGGCATTACTTCCATGGGCACCAGACTGCAGCAGGAATGGGGAACCTGTGGCTCTCCCAATGCTGGACTCCAACCCCCATAAGCTCTAGCCAGAGAGACTAATGCTCACAGAATGATGGGAGCTGGAGTCCAGCAAACTCAGGAAGGTAGTCACAAGGCCATAGAATTGTAGAGTTGGAAGGACCCTGAGGGTCATCTAGCCCAACCCCAATCCTTGGGCTCCAGTGTCGTTCACACAGGCCCATTACATTTCATCCAGTAAAACCCGTGTTTAGCAAATCATCACCATGGAGAAACCACAAGCGTAAGAAAATGGGCCCCTTGGTATAATAGTTTAAGGCAGGGCCCAAGCAGGACACTCCACCCGCCCCCCCATTCTGTGGCTGTTGTGCATGCCCAGACTTCGGTGGGATGTTTCTGGGAGGCATTTATTTTTTGCCATCTTAGGCTTCTGCTAACCTTAGGTAAAGGGACCCCTGACCATTAGGTCCAGGCGTGACCGACTCGGGTTGCGGTGCTCATCTCGCTTTATTGGCCGAGGGAGCCGGCATACAGCTTCCGGGTCATGTGGCCAGCATGACTAAGCCGCTTCTGGCGAACCAGAGCAGCGCACGGAAACGCCGTTTACCTTCCCGCCAGAGCAGTACCTATTTATCTACTTGCACTTTGACGTGCTTTCGAACTGCTAGGTTGGCAGGAGCAGGGACCGAGCAACGGGAGCTCACCCCGTCGCGGGATTCAAACTGCCAACCTTCTGATCGGCAAGTCCTAGGCCTTAGGATGGCCCAAATATACCAATACTCCTCTCTTGTTCTTCAGCAGCCTCAATTGGGCTACAATCTTGTCAGCAATAATCACTACATGAGGTCACAAGTCGAGGGAGACATGATGTCACAGAATCCAAAAGGTAGCCCAGCACATTGGCATCTGTGTGCAGGAAAATGTGCTTTTATTCAGGATTGTATCCAGTGCTGGTCCTACTCAGAGTAGGCCCATTGAAGTTAATGGACACTGTTGGACAAATTTGCCCCAGGGATCTTCCCCAGAGGTAGTCAATTGCTCTGTGAGAGGGAGGAGTCTGACACCACGATCAGGCAAAACCACAAGTTGTTTATTCTCGAGACAGCGCTGCACGGACATCTCCCCGCTCATGCTGCAAAGAGGGAGGGCACCGTCCTATTTACATCACAAGTACTTTATACCCTAAAGCCTGTCCAAATTTCTCTTCACAATCTCCTATTGGTTAAGAAATTGAAGTTTACAGACTTCCCGGTCCGCCTATTACATATTTTCTCCTTGATATGTACCCCCACTGTTACATACATCACATGTTCATGTTAATTAGCTATAGCTCCACCAGGGGCGGTTTGACTAATATTCATAGCCCTTTTAATCATGCGCAATGCCTTTCTAACTGTTCTCTTCCATTTTTCCTCATGATTTTGAGTCACCCACAGACTGTCTAATACAGGGGTCAGCAAACTTTTTCAGCAGGGGACCGGGCCACTGTCCCTCAGACCTTGTGGGGGGGGCTGGACTATATTTTTTGGGGGGGGGAATGAACGAATTCTTATGCCCCACAAATAACCCAGAGATGCATTTTAAATAAAAGGACGTTACACAGGATGAGACAGTAAAATCTGCCATGATAAAGTGGGCGCAGGACATTGGGCATAACATTATGTTTGAGTACTGGGAAAGGTTATGGAACACCGGAATGAAATTCACGGCATGTAATGCCTTGAAGGAAAACATTATGAAAATGATATACCGGTGATACATGACCCCAGTCAAGCTTGCTAAGATATACCATTTGTCTGACAATAAATGCTGGAAATGTAAGGAGGCTGAAGGGACATTCTTTCACCTCTGGTGGACCTGCCCAAAAGTGAAGGCCTTCTGGGAAATGATACACAATGAGCTAAAAAAGGTATTTAGGTATACCTTTCCCAAGAAACCAGAGGCCTTCCTCTTGGGCATGGTGGACCAGAAAGTGTTAAAGAAGGATAGAACTTTGTTTATGTATGCTACTACAGCAGCAAGAATTCTCATCGCAAAGCACTGGAAGACACCAGATTTACCCACGCTGGAAGAATGGCAGACGCAGTTGATGGACTACATGGAACTGGCTGAAATGACTGGCAGAATCCGTGATTTGGGAGAAGAAATAATGGAGGAGGACTGGAAAAAATTTAAGGACTATCTGCAAAAACATTATAAGTTGTATGAATGTTAAGAATGTGTACGATTTGGAAATTTTTGCTTCAGCAACTTGAATAGGGGAATTGGAAATTAAGCTATAAGAAAGATGAGGCAGACAACATGAAGTAACCATACTATGTTTATTTATAGGGTACAAATAACTGAGATACAGTATTTTAAATGTGGAAACATAGTATTTGAAAGATACAGTAAGACATGAAATAAGGTAACAAATTGCTGATGTTACAATTGCAAAGAACGCAGAATTCGGAAGATGTGGGGAAGTCCAATTGGAATTGTCAAAGTATTTTGGAAAGTTGGAATTTATGTATACTTTCTTTTTCTTACTTTTACTTTCTACTTTTTATTCTGTAAATTTCTGAATATCTGAAAGAAAACTTAATAAAATATTTATTAAAAAAAAATTAAATAAAAGGACGCATTCTACTCACGTAAAAACTTGCTGATTCCCAGACCATCCACTGGCCGGATTGAGAAGGCGATTGGGCCGGATCCAGCCCCCGGGCCTTAGTTTGCCAACCCATGCTCTAATACCTTTTGGCTACTCTCAGCAATTTCTATACTTAATGTATTACATATTACCACGAGTTTCCTCTGTCTTTGCAATGCAAACAGTTACAACAGCAAGGTGAGGCATGGTTGCTTCTGCTAAGCCTTTTCTTATCCATTTATCCCACAGACATGAATAACTTAGTGGGTCTACTCTGAGTAGAACTTAGATACTGCCTATAGTGGTCTTAAAAGAAAAAGAAAAAACCTCATTACCTGAGATATGGCATAATGTGCTTCAGTGCTTTTTTTCTGGGGGACGCAGGGGTATGCATAACGCCCAAACATTTCGTGAATCTTTGTACTTTTGTCCATTTACTGTATTTATTTTTCCTGATTTGAACTATAAAATGGTGATTTTCTTGAGTCAGAATGTTGTTGTTTTTGTTGTTTAGTCATTCAGTCGTGTCCGACTCTTCGTGACCCCCTGGACCAGAGCACGCCAGGCACTCCTGTCTTCCACTGCCTCCCGCAGTTTGGTCAAACTCATGCTGGTAGCTTTGAGTCAAAATGAGAGTAACCCTAAACATTTTTTAAAGAAAAAAAGCACAAATTGTATACATTCAATGACGCCAAATTAAAAGGTGTCAATTTTTTCTCCTAAATCTGTTTAAACTGCCTTTCTATTTATTTGGCAGACTTTCTTTAAAGAATCCACCTCAGCTTGGGCCAGACCTTTTACTCTGTGGTTATTGTCAAGTTAAAATTGTACTATGTATTCATCTGGTACAAAATTCCTTGCATGTAGAAAAATAGCACATCAAGAAGTGGCTTTTATTATGTGCGATCTCTCTCTCTCTCTCTCTCTCTCTCTCTGATGTACTACTTTACTAATTGCAGGGAGGCCTGATTTGTTTTGTCTTTACACAGGGAAAGTTTAAGAAACACATTGAACTGACTCTGCTTAGTCTGCCAACTCATTCTGCAGCATGTGCAGACTGGACTTTCCTGTGTACCTCTGTCGTAGAGCCCCTGCTTCCAAGGCATGGAATGCCTGTATGTTCTTCTAAACTAGGGGCATAGCTCAGTGGTACAGGACCTGCTTTTCATGCAGAAGGTAAGCTCCCAAGTTGATTCACCAGCATCTCTGGCATGGAGGCAGCAGATGCTGCTGTTTGTAGATGCCCACTGCAGTGGTCCCAACTCCACCTGCTGTGGAAAGGACCACGCTTGCTTCCAGGAGCAGCTGCAGAGACAAAATCTCCTCTGCAAGAAAGGCTTTCCTTCTGAACGGCCTCTCTTGGCTTAGGGGAATGCAGATGTCAGTTCTGGTTTGCCACTTTCCCCATCATGTCACCTGCTAATCACAGCGGCAGAGGACACAGGAACGAAAAGGATTTGAGTTCCATGACGCAGGCACAGGAAATCCAGGTTTCTTGAACCAGATTAATGGCCAGCTTAAGATGAAAGAGCTAAGAAGGGCATACAAAATCTGGAAAGAGACTCTGGTCACTGCCAACCTGTTTATTGAGCATTCATCCTGATTTGCTTCCACAAATCTGTGGGGAGGTTGTACAATGTATGCTGTTTAGGGAGCAATCATTCTGATTTGTTTGTGGGGAGATGTCACATCTATACCTTCCAGTGTATGTCCCCAACACTTTTCTTAGCACAAAAATCTATGGCTGCAGGGAGTGGGTTTGCTGCGCAAGAACTCCAACTCAACTGCAGTTGCACAACCTGAACTTGTTGGTGCGCAAGAGAAGCCCACCCACAAAAGAGCAAGAGTCTGAAACAGCCTCATCATTTTGGAAAGTTCCTTTTGCCAGCATTCGCCAACTTGCCTTATGCAGTCACCTAGAGAGAACATGTTTAGCACAGAGCCTGTCTGGATGATCCCAGGTTCTAGTAAAGCAAGAGAGGGATGGACGACTTCTTTCTAAGCACCACAAATAAATGCCAAATCACAGAGGGATGGCTTATTCAGACTTTCTCTTGTGCTGTGTTTCTAGGCACAGGTCTGTGCTTTAAAGCTCCCTGTCAGAGTGCTTTGTTTGTTGTTTTGCCTCTGTGCTTTCCCTGTGAAAACCCACTCTTTGCAATTCTATGAAATGACAATCCTCGAGCCACTCTGGAACTTTTGGGCTGGAAGAGTGGGATATGAAAGATTTAAATCTCTCTCTCTCTCTCTATGTCACCCCTTGCTTGCATTGTTTCTCAACTAAAGTAAAGGTAAAGGTACCCCTGCCCGTACGGGCCAGTCTTGACAGACTCTAGGGTTGTGCGCCCATCTCACTCAAGAGGCCGAGGGCCAGCGCTGTCCGGAGACACTTCCGGGTCACGTGGCCAGTGTGACAAAGCTGCTCTGGCGAGCCAGAGCCGCACACGGAACGCCGTTTACCTTCCCGCTGGTAAGCGGTCCCTATTTATCTACTTGCACCCGGGGGTGCTTTCGAACTGCTAGGTTGGCAGGCGCTGGGACCGAGCGACGGGAGCGCACCCCGCCGCGGGGATTCGAACCGCTGACCTTTCGATCGGCAAGCCCTAGGCGCTGAGGCTTTTACCCACAGCGCCACCCGCGTCCCGTTTCTCAACTAAACAGCCACAAATGCACCCTTTCCTCACAGACAAGTCAGAACCCTGGAATTGTAGAGTTGGAAGGGACCCCATTAATGCAAGAATCTCAACACATGGCCCCCCATCCAATGCAAAACCATACTGGACCTTGCTTAGCTAGCAGCTTTATTGCTGCACCACTAGGGAGGTCATAATAGTGGCACCATAAGGTAAGGAGAGTAGTTCAGCAGAGGTGACAGGATCATAGCAGGTACAGAGGATTTTGCCTTCTGCCTTGCTTGAGGGCTTCCTTGCAGAAGGGGCATAGATAACTCAGTGGTCCATCTAGCTTGTTATTGTCTACATACAGTGTTTCCCAAACTTGGGTCACCAGCTGCTTTTGGACAATTCCCATCATCCCTGAACAATGGTCTGCTAGCTAGGGATGATGGGAGTTGCAGTCCAAAAACAGGCTGGAGACCCACGTTTGGGAAGCACTGGTCTACAATGACTGGTAGCAGCTTCCCAGGGTTGCAGGCAGGAGCCACTTCCCAGCTGCACCAGGGTATGGCAGGGGTTTAACCTGGAGCAGATGCTGTTATCACTGAGCTGGGATCCTTCCCTCTGGACCCAGTCAGCTTCACCTCTCAGAGAGGAGGAGAAAGGCAAAGCCACACAGATGTTTCCCATGCTTTCTCCTCCAGGAGGAGGCTTCTGAGATTGGCAGTGTGGCCCCTGCTTGGTACTGACTGCTGGCACCAGTGCTTGCAGCAAGCAGGGGAAGGGCTCAGCACCCCTTTCTCGGCCACTGCTCCTTTGCCTACACCACTTTCCTGCCCCCCACTTTCTCAGAAGACACAGGTTGTAACACAGAGACCTGCTGCCATCACACCTGGTTATCCCCCCCCCCCCCAGTTTGTGGGCTTTCAGCTGCACTTCCAGCCACTGGGGCTCAAATCCAGCCAGGGTCACATGGAGAGCAAGGCACACCTTCCCAGGACGGCTTAGAAGCACCTCCTAAACTAAAGCATTGCTCACTTCAAGGGAAAAGGAGATGGGTTGCAGTCGCCAGACCGGCAGCATCACTCAGGGTCTACACAGGAACAATATTTAATGAACAATTTGACATTTACATCAGCATTGTGCAGCACAAGATCCTATGCACATTTACTCCTGATGTCAGTCCTGCCAAAGGGACTTACTCTCTGGTAGGTGCATGTAGGGTTGGAGATATTAGACGTGCAAAGCTCTTCACGTGCATAATCCTTACAACCACCCGGTCAGGTAGGTCAGTACCTTTATTGCAATATGGGGAGTCAGGGTTGTCTGTGTGTGAGAGAGAGAGGCAGACAGAAGTCAGGGGCAAAGAATCTCTGGACCAGGGCCAAAACATGGCCTTCCCAGCCTCTCATTCTAACCTTCAGGATTCTTTGCAGGTCAGAACCCCTCTCCCCACCCACTATTGGCCGTCTTTGAGGGTTGTTGCCTGGCTGGAATGTGTCCTTGAACTTGCTTGATATTATTAATAATAATTTATTAAATTTACATTCCCTCCTTGCTCCCAAAGGAGCCCAGGGCAGCAATGACAATGGATGGACAACAGAGGGGGTTGTATGAGGGTATGTAGAAATTGGGACATTTTGTTGCACTTCTGGCCCCAGACACCAATGGCATGTAGACCCTGGAAAGTTCCCTGGAAGGGAATGAGGCCCTTGTGCAGGAAAAAGCTCCCCCACCCCTGATCTAAGAATGGCCTGCAGGGCGAAGAACCAAGATGGTGCTATGACGGTCCTAGGCAGTTTTTCTAATCCATGCTGATGAAACCAGGCAAGCCTCCTCCCAGATAACCGTCCATTTCCCATCTGCAGTGGAATAATTGGGAGAGCCTGCTTTCTCCTTGACCTGCACCTCTGATTTGGCCAGCTTCTGGCCGTCAAAGTCTCTCTGGTGCAGCCAACCCCAATTCTGCCATGAACCTCAAGAGCTTATGGCTTGGTTGCAAATGAAGATCAAATTGCACACTGCCAAAGTATAGACTCGGCATGTGGCATTGGCCACAGAACAGTCTTTGCAAGAGCCGCCAGGAGAGCAATGGGTCAGAGTCGTGATCTGGAGCTCAGCCGAGAGAGCTCAATCCAAAGCATCCCTACCAGTAGGCTTGGTCATCGGAGAGCCTCCAGGTGTGCAAGCGAGAGAGGACCAGAGCGGCAGCACGAGAGGTGCCCAGGGGCTCGCCAGCCGTGAAGGTGCCCTTTGCCAGACGGGAGAGTGCATTGGGAGGGGAAGGACCCATTACGGGGCGGATTCTGTAATTCTTCCCGTGGTTGTTGTCCCAATAGACTTTCTGGCCACAGTGGAAGGAAACACAGAACTCAATATTCCCGCAAGGAGCTGGTGCCTTTGGTAGGGCCACCTCAAAGGAGAAGACATCCGTGTCGGTGAGGCCGTATGTGTTGGGCATGTACTGGCAACAGACATCGCGGAAGCTCCTCCATGAATCAAAGGTGATGCGGATGTACACTTTCTTCTCAAAGCTGATGTTTCTGACTTTGATGGTCCCTGAAAGGGACTTCTCCTGGATCACACAGTTCTCCAGAGACACACAGCTGCTTTGCAAGCGGTTGCGAAAGGCTAAATAATCAGCAGAAGGTTGGGGAAAATCCAGCATGTATTTTTTCGTCTCAGGACGGGAGCCACGTAGCTTGTTCCGAAAGTTGGTCAGGTGAGACAGAGCTTGGTGCAAATCACACAGGTCCTCCTCAATCTTGGAGAAGATCCGGACAGCCGTGAGTGAAAAGCCCTTCATGTCGGCAAAGACCACCTTCTTCTTTTTCTTGCCACGGCAACCCTTGATGGCGTCTCGCCTCTCGCCTTCCAGGCAGTTGTTCAGGCAAGGGCGCAAAGGCTGGTGCCCAAGACCCTCCCGCAGCTCCTCGTAGGAATCCAGCAGCTTGCGAATGGGAGGGGTGTGGCTCAGGCAAAGCCTCATGGCCCGATCGACGGAGGTGGCTCGGGGCACCATCGCCCGCGTGCTGAACACCTGGAAAAGGCTGGAAGCCGGAGAGGGAGTTAGGGACTCACGTGGAAGCACCTAGCCAGGATCAGAGACAGCACAAGTCTTGGCGTGACTTATTCCCCCTCAACATAGAGATTATTAATATACATATTCGGGGCGGATAACTCCACACAGATGATGTAGTAGAGAATGTGAGCATCCATTTCACTCCCAATACCTGTGATTGGAGGCTGGTGCATGCACACAAAAGCCTTCAGGCAGATATACAAGTACCAAAATAGCAGAAAGGCAAGTTTGCAACCACTCAGGGCCCCTTCCAGACATTTGTTGTTGTTGATTTGCAGCTTTCTTCTGCAAGATGCCACTGATGCAATAATAGCACATCAATGGTGGATTTATACTGGACTGTCCACACATCATTCAGCTTTATTATCTGTTCTGCAGTTATTCCGCAGTGTTATCACATTCTAGTTGTCTGGAAGGGCACTCTTGTACTACAGCAGAACAAAAGGACAACAAACAACAACAACCCTCTGGATATTTGTGGTATGTAAAGTTACAGGTTTTCAGTAGGAAGTTACCCATGTTAGATTTTTTTAGGTGGAGATGTCAAGGATTGAACCTGGAATCTTTGGCATGTCAAGCTGGCACTCAACCACTCAGATACTTTCCTATTTTGGCTATATCCCTGTGTTTCGTCCCAGAAGATCAGGGCTGCCTCACGCTGTTTTATCTATGTGATAGATGCCAGCCCAAGGCCAACCAGGGAGCGGGGATTTGAACCTGGGTTTTGCCAGCAGGGATCACACCAAGGCACCAGTGTGACTGCAGCTGATAAAGTTAAGCCTACTTGCACCATGGCTAAAGATCACAACAAAATCAATGGTCAGTCTCTAAGGCTGCACACACAACACCTGTTTAAAGCACACCCACACCCAAATCCTGATAAATGTAGTTTACCTTCCAGAGAGCTATAATTCCCAGCACCCTCAACAAATACAGTTCCCAGGATTCCTTGGGGTGGGTGCTTTAACTTAATGGTGTGCATGCAGCCAAAGAAGGGGAACCCAGTGCTATCTGTCTTCAAAGGGCTACTTCTCTTGTGCCTTTAGCAGATTCTTGATGCCCAGAACTCAGAAAAGGCTCTTTGCAGCACAGAGACAAGCATGACTCCCTGCTAAAATCTACACTGCAAGTCCCCTTAAAAGACACAGGGTGCAATGTTCCATGGAGAAGTTGGTGACCCCATCCCCAATCCTACCACCTCCTCCCCTTATAAGGAGCAAATGCTTTTTTATTGAATTCCGCTCCCGACCTGGATGGTCAGACCGGCAACATTTTCACCTCCGAAAGCAACAGGGCTCTTCCCAAGAAAACCTGGAGGGGGTCCCTCCAACAGGCCTCCAGCATTTGAGCGTTGCCCATTCTCCCCTCTTGCCGGCTCAACCCCCAATTTACACTGAAGTAGAACGACAGTCCCGTGACCCAGAGGAAGCTGCCTTATACTGAGATGATTACTTAATTTATTCAGTTAATTCGATTTATACCACAAAGTGCTATTAATATCAGTGTAGCCAATCTGGCTCAGCAGCCTCAGTTCCAGCCTTCACCAACCTGGCGCCCTCCAGATGTTTCAGACTGTTATTAGGATAGTTAGTAGATTTATTTATATCCCACCCCCCTGGGTCAGCCCAGAGGCGTCTCCCAGAAAGGCTTCCCTCTCCACTCCAGGGCTCGGTTCCAGACCTAACGGGAGCTGCCAGGATCTGAACTGGAGCTTTCCCGCCTGCTGCTGCCAAGCAGGCATCCCCCTCGAAGCGTTAGGAAGGGAAAAGTTGCCTCCATGGGAACCCAGTTATGGGCAGAGCTCCAGGGGAGAGGCAGCAGCGCCTGAAAAAGCGGCCCCTTTCCCCCTTCCTTTGCGCGCGTGTCCCGTTCCCACGACACTCACTCTCCGCAGCTCATCGCGCCGCCTGCAGCCACGGTCCCGGGTCGCGGGCTCGAGGCGCTCCCGAAATGAAGGAAGGAAGAAATGAATGAAGACGCTGGAAAGGGAGGAGGAGCCGATGCCTGCGTGACCACGCCCCCACCGCTCTGGCCACGCCCCTCCACCTGGGCGGGGAGGAGGAGCAGCGGAGGCCCCTTGTGAGCATTGCCCAGCGCGACCCAAAGCGGCTTACAACCAACCAGACAGGTAACAGACAACCCACAACGTGGTTTGCATGCAAAAGCAAACCCCAGAGCACGTGCAGAGTGCATTTCCACAAGCAGCGAGGAACTTGCAGCTAAGGCTCCAAATCGTGGGCTGGGGAGGGAGAGGCTCTGCTCCCGAAGGCCAAGGTTCTCACTCACCAATACATTTCCAAAGGGGCAGGCTGGTTTCGCAGCAAAAAACACAGACGGACAGCTAGCCAAGGAGCAGTGCCACAAATACAAGCAAGTTTATGATGGCAAAAGCGTCCGCGGGCCAGAATCTGCAGGGGGTGCCAGTTGGACTAGACTAGAGCGTCAGAGTAGCACCTGGGAGATCCCCCCTCTTGGCCACAAAGGTCACCGTGTGGCCTCTGGCCAGTCACTGCCTCTCAGTCTAACCGGCCTCACTGGATTGCAGTGGGGATTAAACAAAGAGAACAGGGGATGCCACCCTGGAGAAAAAGCTGGGGTGTAAATGTGATAAACGCAACAAACAGCTCCCTTTCCACCTCAGTTTCCCCTAGCTGTAAAATGGGAGACAGTGCAAAAACAGGGCATGGCCTTTTGTGTGCTTTATATTTTCATATGAAATTAAGTAGCAGGAGGCAGCCCATGGCCAGCGGTTTGCTTTGCTGTGATAAGTGTAGGAAGTTGTGGGCTGTTTAAAAGATCTGGAGTGGGCGGGGTGTGTGTGTGTGAACTTTAAGGCAACGGCTGCAAAGAGCCACAGAGGGGTGCAAGCTCAGAATTCACCTGCAAAGTTTTCCTCCACCCTCTGCCTCACATGCAAAAAAGTGGCAACCTTACTTGGAAACTGAGTCACAGGGTCAGGGACCCTTTATCAGGCCAGGGAGTCTATTTGCCCATAGGCAACCTCCTGCGGCCCCATGCCAACAGGTGTAAGCTCCCACCTTGCTGCAGCAGACATACCAGCGGTGCAAAAATGAGGTTTGTGGCACCAATGCCCATTTCTCCATCCTGGCAGGAAAGTGGCAGTTCAAGGACACTTATCAGCTGGGCAAAGGCCTTTGAGGGTGTGGAGCAGGGCTAGAGTGAGGCATGGCCTGGGGACTGTCCTGAGGGCCAGGCAGACCCCCTGGAGGGCAGCATTTGGGGCCCAGGCCCCCACCCCCTTAGTATGAAGCATTGCATTGCTGAAGCCTGGAAAAGAGGGGGACACCTTTGTTTAGGAAATTTTATATACTGCTTGGGATGTACAGGGTGTTAGCAGAGGGGTAGTATTTCTGGTGGGGGACACATCCTGCTACTTCAGCAGTAGTTTGCCCACCTTTGGTTCCCACCCTGCACTTAGCTCTCACCTGTGGCTCCTAGAAGCTGTCGTGTCAGAAGGGGACAGCAGCCACCTGGCTAAACCAGGTGAGGGGATCTGATGGGATTGAGCAGATGAGACCAAGGACTCAGCTATACAGCTGCAAACAAAACGTTTTAAGTGCAATATACTATGAGACACTAGATGGCGATAATGAGCCTTACAGAAAATTCAATGTATTTTCAAAAATGCTTTAAAAAAAAGCATTTTCATAATGTTTTTATATGTGCAGATTCCACCATCGAGTGGGTCCAACAGGCAAGAAGGCAGTTTTTGCAAGTGCTGCAGAGGGAAGTGAAAGGCAGATGGAGCTCATCCCATCGCCCAGCTGTGAGTGGTGAAGGCTGCTCCCTGCAAGGCCCTTTCCACCTGGCCTGGGGGTGGGGCCCAGACTCACCAGCTCCGCTGAAGAGGCTCCTCATGAGGCCAGAGGAACATCACTATGCCTGGCAACAAATCCCACTTATTGGATTCTTCTGCCCCATCTTTTTGTGCCTGCCAAACAGCCGTGTCACGCTTATACAGTGGTGCCCCGCAAGACGAATGCCTCGCAAGACAAAAAACCCGCTAGACGAAACGGTTTTCCGTTTTTGAGTTGCTTTGCAAGACGAATTTCCATATGGGCTTGCTTATGAGTCTTGCGATTTTTTTCCGCTTCCCCCCCTTTTTCTAAGCCGCTAATAGCCTTTTAGCCGCTAAGCCTTTAATAGCCGCTAAACCGCTAATAGCGCTAATCCGCTAATAGGGTTGCTTCGCAAGACGAAAAAACCGCTAGACGAAGAGACTCGCAGAACGGATTATTTTCGTCTTGCGAGGCACCACTGTATTTTATTCTCTTGTTAACTATGCTGTTTTAAATGTGCATTTTATATTTGACTTCACTTAGCAATGTTTTCTTTTGAAATGGTTAAGGTTTTGTTTTTTGTTAACTTTGTGTTAAATATGTATTCTGTAGTTGACCTGCTTTGTAATGTTTTATTTTGAAATCTTTGAGATGGTATATTGGTTTCCTGTTAATTGTGTTGCTTTGACTGTGTACTTTATATTTGACTTTCTTCAGAAATATTTGATTATGCATTGTTTTATTGATGTTTAATATGCTGTAAACCACTTTGAGATTTTTCTTAAAAACATAAAGTGGTATAGAAATGAAATAATAAGAATAATAATCTAGAAGGAAAACTCTGGGCCGAAACCTCTGCTGCTTTGTGGGACATCTTTGGGAGCAGAGTCCCTCAGATGGGGACGTTTGATGGCACCTTCTACGCCTTCTTACAGCAACTCCTACTTAATATATGTAATATTATACAGTCATACCTCATGTTGCATCTGCTTCAGGTTACGTCTTTTCAAGTTGCATCCCGCGGCAACCCAGAAGTACCGGAACAGTTACTTCCGGGTTTTGCTGCTTGTGCATGCGCAGAAACGCTAAATCGCGCAGCACTTCTGGATGCGAACGCTTTGAGTTGCGGACGTGCCTCCGGGACGGATTATGTCCACAACTCGAGGTTCCACTGTATTTAATATATATAATATTAAAATCAACTATAAGCTAAAAACTCAAAAAACAAAAAAACATAGTGGCATTCTGCATACCTGGGTAGGCTTGTCTGAACAAAGTTGTTACTTGCAGGTGCCAAAAAGTTTTAGACAGACGGTGCTGTCCTGGTGTCAATAGGCAGGGCATTCTGGAGTGCGGGTGCTGCCACACGAAAAGAGATCTTTCTTACAAATGCAAAAGGGGTATTTGGGCTGCTGTAACAGTGTCAGGGCTGCAGATCCAAGTGGTCAAGTGGGTGTTCTGTGGGGTAAGGAGATCATGCAGGTGAACCAGTGCCAACTTGTTAAGGGCCGCATATACTAATAGTGGCACCTTGAACGTGCAACAGCAAATCAGCTGTTTTTCGAGAAAGGGTCCTACTTCTGTGGTAGAGCTCATGTCTTGGATGCAGGTCCTGGGCTCCATTCGTAGCCACTTCAAGCAGAGCTGGGAGTCCCACATTCAAAATGCCAGACAGTGCAAACAATATTGATCTAGATGAGCCAGTGCCCCGACTCTGTGGAAGGTCACTTGCTATGCTCAAGGGACTTTGCTGGCCTCCAGCAGACCTTGGACTGGAAGAGCAAGGCCCCCACTTCCTCCAATTAGCCTCGTGCTGCTGGCTAATCCTCCAGGCAAGCAGCCTTGACGTGAACACAGGAGACAAAGCTGCTAAAAACAGCGGCTGGCCATGCGCCACCCTCTCCCAAGTGTCCACCTGGACAGTGACCGGCAAACGCTGGGTCAGAGGGATTCCCGATGCCCCGTGAAAGTCCAGGGGAAACCACTCCGCAGAATTCCCTGCGCCGTCCCCTTTGCAGCGGCCATTCCTTCCCCACACGCTAACCAAGCCGACCACCAAGGAAGCGAATTGCCCAAAGGCTTCCGCTGCCTCGAACTTCTTGCCGCGTCCTCACTTGACCCCACGGCAACATCAGAAGCAAGGGCACCCGAAGGTGTTTTGTGGGAAGGACCCACAGCTGAGCAGTGTGGCACCTACTTTGCCACAGTTTAAGTTCTGAAACCCAAGAAAGCTGCTGCCAGTCAGTGTAGACAATACTGAGGTAGATGGACTGAGTAATGCACCTTCCTATGTTCCTACAATCAGGTGAGTATTATTATCATTAATTAAATTTGTATATATACCATCCCTTATCCAAAGATCCCAGGACACTTCACAAGATAAAAATACAAAATGAGAACACAAAAAGACCGTTGATCTAGCTCAGTATTTCCTCCACTGACTGGAACCAAGTGGCTTAGAAAGAGGGCAGGCACTGAACGGAGGGCAAGAACAACGCCCCTACGGACACCTCCCCAACCAGGAATCTGCTTCCAGGACCTCTGTGTGCCAAGCAACTGCTCTGCCCCTGACCTATGGCCCTTCCCAACACCCAGTGCGAGGGCAGCGCTGATGCATTAGGGTTAGGGATGGATGGAGAACACCCTTGAAAGAGGTGGAAACAATGGACCCTCCTGGAACAAGCTGCTCTGCTTTAATGTCCTCAAAAGTTGTTTCTGGCCCTGCAAGAAGCGAGTGGTGTTTTCTGACGTCACCCAGGGAGCTACTGCAGAAGTCAAGCTGAAAAGGAAGGGATGCTGGGCCCAGTCATCGCCTTGGAGGAGGCACACCTGGCAGGCACAGTTCTCTCAGCTTCTGCAGGAACTGGGCAGCAATGCCCAGAACAGATCCAGTGAAACATTGCCATCTTCTGGAGATGCAACAGAACAGCAGCTGTGCCTCTTTTTGAAGCCAGACCGCCTAGGAAGTCAAGCTTCCCCACCTCCAAAATCCTCTTTCCAGGGATAACAGCCCTTCTTTCCTGTCTGCTGGGGACATTCCCCCTGACATGATCTCAAGTTGCTATTTTAGCTTTATCAAGAGTCCTCCAGATGCCAGCAAGCCAAGGGAGGTGAATTACCAGGAACTAGACAGAGATGGTCACCAGGCAGTCCTTTTGATGTGGGATAAATATTCGCTTCAGCATTTGCAAGGATGTCCAAGCATCTGCATGCTGCTTAGATGAGCTGAACTGCCCCAGAAGCCACCAGGGGAGCAATGGTTTGGTATCTGATCAGATGCTGAGAGTCTTCATCCAGGTCAATCACATATTCTCTGAAAGAGACAGACCATAATAAGGTTAGGTAAAGTTGCAATCCTATGTACACTTACTTTTGAGCATAGTAGGAATTTCTTCCTAATTAGAGATATGTTGGATTGATTTGCATGCTAGTTACTAGGAATTTATTAAACTCAACTAGGGCACTAATTTCCATCTCCTCTCTCTCTGAGGTCACTGTGAAAATATATTTTCAAATGTCAAAGATCTGCAAATATTTACACACACTCACAACAGGGTGGAGAACACATGTCGCTCTGTATATTGTTGGCCTCCGACTGCCATCCTGTAAGCCTGGCCAGGGATCAGGTGGGAACTGTAGGTCAACATCTAGAGAGCCACAGGTTCCCCAGCCTCTCTCAAAAACCGTCAAGCCTTTCCAAGCGGAAGGACTGGAAGCCTCACAAATCAGGCTTAACACCCACGACATATTTAAAGAAATCCATTTCCATTGGCATTCAGATACACACAGCCCCTGGCAGTGGAGGAAAAACAGAGACAGCCGCTGTGGCCTTGAGAGATGGGTGAATACAGAATAAGGCTCATTCATTTTCAAAGCCATCCAGGTTTGTGGCCCTTGCTTCATATTGCAGCAGCAAGTTCCACATTTTCACTATTTGCCGTGTAACGAAGGAAGCAGGGGAGCAACGGCCAAACCCTACTGGGCTGCTCCTGAGAAAGCTGACGATCTGTTGTTTTTACCCTGCTTTTCTGTCCATGGACATACAAAGCAGTTTGCAATTCTCAAATCAACTATAACAAAACCCTGAAACATAAACAGCCATCCTTGTTTAGAAAATAACATTTAAGACAGCAGCTGATGGAAGCCAACCAAGCACCTTTAGTGATTTAGCTCAGCCTCAGTGCACAAAGCCCAAGAAGTCGCTACAATCCTGCCTGTTGTGTAAGCCGCTAGAGGTTTCAAAAAGGCAAAGGGACATGCCGAATATCAGCCGCAAGGAAGCAAAGAGACACACCCAGCAACCAGGTGCAAAGGCTTCTCTTTTTCAGAAGTCGTGCACCTTGTTGGAGGCTCCTTGGGAACAACGGCTTGAACAGGAGTTTGTCCTGCTGGGGTGGACAGGAGTAGCAGCCTTAAACATCTGGAAAGCACCAGGCTGGGAAAGGCTGGTGGAGGGAACTTCTCTGGGGAGATCGTTTGGATGCTGGTGTTTGGGCTCATCCCTTCCTTTTTGGGGTACTGATAAGCTCAGCAAGCTCCATTCTTGGGAGTCTCTTTCCTACCTCTGCTCATCAGTCTCTGGTTCCACCAGGATATTCTCCTGTCTCTCTTTCACCCGCAGGAATACGAAGGAATCCAGATTCGGTTTGGGTACTGTAAGGAAACACACAGAGAGGGAAAGGCTTCTCCATCAAAATTGTCTGCAAAGCACTCCTCCAAGGGGAGACTGTCACTCCATCATCTGGGAGTGAGACAGATTGACTTCTCTGGAGA